TTCAAGTAGGTGATGATTTATTTTACCCTCGCACTATGCTACTCAATCTTAGTTTTTTTTTTTTCATTTTTTTTAAATTCACTATTACTTTTTTCTTATTTTCTTATATATTTTTTAAAAAAACTTGTACTCTTATTGTTTAAAATTTATTTCTTCAATTATTTGTTTCTTATCAAAATTCTAATCAAATTAATTTTTTAATATAATTTTATTTATTAATAAAAATTTAAAATGTCGATATTTTTTAAAATATATATTATAATTTAAGCAATAAATTATTTTTATGTTTTTTAAATGATTTTTTTATTTTTTCAAATATATTATTATAATTAGTATGAACGAGTGAACTATCGTAGATTTTATTTTAATCTATTGACTTCAATATATTTCATATAATTTATCGAGCCTGATCTTTTTTTTTTTTTTGTTTCCATATATATTATCATGAAATTAGGTGTGAAAAATATAGAAAATAAATCATTATTTTTTTTAGTTTTACATATAGTTTCAAGATGATAGAATATATATGATATTTTTTAAAATTTTAGTTTTGGCATATATATATATGAGTATATTACTCTTATTGTTTAAATTTTATTTCTTCAATTATTTGTTTCTTATTAAAATTCTCATCAAATTAATTTTTTATATACTTTTATTTTTTTAATATATGAATTTTAGAATAAAATTTTAGAACGTTGGTGTTTTATATTTTATAAATATATTGTTATAATTTATAAATTATGATTATATAGAGAGAGGGGGGGGATGAGGAGATAAAAGTATGTTTTAGATAGTTTAGCTCCATTTTAAAAAAAACATTCACACAAGTTTTATTTTATATATATATATTCAAAATTTATCGAATCAATTTTGTTGTGGTTTTTCTTAGTTTATTGACTTCAATATATTTCATACAATTTATGTGAGTTTTTTTGTATATTTTCTATTCATTCTATATACTCGAATCTAATATCTATACATTATTTTTATTAGAAATTAACTATATATTTGCACACATGATACCAATTCTTTATTATTTGTTTTTTATATCCTATTTTTTAATAAAATAAGTTACATAATGTTTTGAAAGAACTTTCCAATTATTCAAATACAAATTTTTATGTTAATATTTATCAAACGATTTTGCTCAATATATAGATTCAATTTACATTAGTCATCGGAAATAAAACTTTTACTTACGGTATACCATGCGAATCGTTAACACTATATATGTAACAGGTGCCTAACCGCGGTATAGCGCGGTTACCTATCTAATCCATAGCTAAAGTAACAATTATATTTAAGCTATACAAGAACATATACTAGAACTCCTTTGTATAACAAAAATTAAGATACAAAGTATAAAAAAAGAATATATTAAAAATGGACTGAAATTAAATGTTATGACGACATATAATGCTTTAAAATATGTATATTGAACTATAATATTTGCTAAAATTTAGTTGTTGAAACACTCGAAGGAATGATATAATACTAAATAAATTAAAGTATAATATTATTTTTTTATTTTTGGAATTGATGTCGATAAACCAATGTTTTTAGTAAGATACTAGTTAGATACCCATGCTACGTTGCGGTCAAACAACTATTATATACACGGGGTTACTAATTTGTATAGTGTGATGTGAGTAAATATTTTATTTATGAAGATTGATGTAAATCGAATCTATATATTAAGTGAACTTGTTTGATTTATATATATTTATTAACAAAATAATTTAGACTATTAGTATAACAATTTGTATATGAATAATTAATAGGTTCTTTCAAAACATTAATTAAACTATTTTATTTAAAAATATATATTTTTAAAACATGAAAAAAATAAATTATTATTGTTATGTGTGCGGATATAATTAATTTATAACAAATATATATATATAGTATTTAACGATTTAGAGGATATAAAATATATAAAAACCCTACTCAAATCACATGGAATATATCAAAGTAAATGGATTTAAATAAAAAATGCTATAAAATCAGTTTTGATCATTTTTGATTATATATATGTATAAAACTTGTGAATTTTCTAAACTAATTATTATTTAAAAAAAAAACTTAGTCAAATTATTTTTTAACTGATTATTATTTTTTAAAAAATTAAGTTAAATTATCTAAAATACATTTTTAGCTCTCTCTCTCTCTCTCACACACACACATTAGAATTTATATATGCAACTACGTTACTCTCATTTAAAAATCATAAAAAAATCAATCGTATAAATTATAATAATATATTTTAAAAATAAAACAATCATGTTTTAAAAATTTATTTCAAAATCCATATATAAAAAATCAAATTTATTAACAAGTAAAATTATATAAAATAAAAAATTATTTCGATGAGAATTTTAATAAGAAACAAACAATTGAAGAAATAAATTTTAAACAATAAAAATAATATAATTAGATATTATGTTCAAACTAAAATCTTAAAAAAAATCATATATATTCTATTATGTAAAAACTAAAAAAATAACGATTTTTTTTATATTTTCACACCGAATATATATATATATATATATATATATATATATATATATATATATATATATATATATATATATATATATTGTATTTAGTAGATTCGAGTATATAGAATAAATAAATTAATATATAAAAAACTTACTTAGATCGCATGAAATATATCAAAGTGAATAGATTTAAATAAAAACTACTATAAAATTGGTTTCGATAAATTTTGATTATATATATATAAAACTAAGTACAACCTATGAATTTTTTCAACTAATTATTATTTTAAAAAAAACCGAGTCAAATTATTTTTTTAACTAGTTATTATTTTTTAAAATTAAGTTTAATTATCTAAAACATACTTTTAGCTCTCCCTCTTTCTTCAGAATTTATATATGCAACTACGTTACTTTCATTTAAAAATAATAAAAATAATCAATCGTATAAATTATAATAATATATTTTAAAAAATAAAATAATAATGTTTAAAAAATTTATTTCAAAATTCATATATAAAAAAAATCAAATTTATTAAAAAATAAAATTATATAAAAGAAAAGAATTAATTCGATAAGAATTTTAATAAGAAACTAACAATCAAAGAAATAAATCTTAAACAATAAAAATAATATAATCGGATATATATGTTCAAACTAAAATCTTAAAAAATATTATATATATTCTATTATCGTTAAACTGTATGTAAAACTAAAAAAAATAACAATCTTTTTTAAATATTTTTACAACTAATTTCATGATAAAAAATATAAAAATAAATTATTCAAAGAAAAAAAAAGAAGACAAAGGGTGATTGGGACTGCTTGTGAGCCAGGGTAGGCCTTCTTAAGCCGACGACCAGCCCTAAAAAAAAAATTGCTACAGCAAATGGTTGTAAGTCCGGTCAGGCCTATTACAGTAAATGCCTGTGAGCCAGGCCAAGCATGCTTGAGCCCGCAATCATGCCTAAAAAACAAGAAAAGAAATGCTACAGTAAATAACAGTGACAATTCCAAATCTTTTAATTTTTCTAATAATTTTCTAAATAATTAAAAAATATATCACATAAAATTTTTCCTCACACATTAAAAATGTTTTTTTTTTTTTTTTGTTTTTACAATTCTGGAAAGTGTAATTATTTTCGCGAGCCAAGGAAAGATCAAATCCTCCTCATTTTTTTCCGTAAAAAACTACTCAACCATTTTTAATTTGGATGCCAAAATCTAGCAAAAGCCTAGCCAAGCAATGCCACAGTGCCACTAGGCAAAGCGAAACAATAAAGTTAGAAAGAGCAGAATCTACTAAAACGCGCTGTCGTGCGCATTACGCACCCCTTTCCCTTTGCGTTGATTTCCCTTTTCAGAGAATAGTGTGCGCAATACGCATCCCCCTTATCCTAATATAAAAACCTCACGACGAAACAACGCAAAACCAAACGAAGGGAAAAAAAACACAAAAAACAAAAAAGCACTATTTAATTAGTAAAAGAAAACCTCATATTAGTCTCTCAGCAATGCATATTCATAAATTGAGTTAAAAAACTATCAATTTTACATAATCAAGTCCCTCATCTATACACAATTCGTCAATTGAATCTTTCTATTAAAGTAATTGGAGACAATGGTAAACAAAACATGTGCTAGTCATATAATCTCTAACTGACTCCAATTTCCTACCCTTAGATACAAAAACACCCGCCTCTTTTTCTCATTTAATTTGTGCAAGATCACATGTAGAAGTCATAGTACAAAAGCGTTATAAATGTTTCTCAATTGACCTAACTCGTCTTAAATTGAAAGCAGTATCTAGTTGATTTTGTTCTTGAGCCTTGAAAATAAATGCTAGGATTAGTTAAAAAACACATAAATAGCACATGAATTATTCAATGCCGTCTACAATTATATCAATAGAAGGATCTGATTGAGGAAATGTATATAGATAGAGAATCGTATTGAAAACAATTTAGTTAGGGAACGTAAGAAAAAAACGTTACATAGTTGGAGGACTGATATGAGGTTTGCCCAAAGTTTACTATCCCATAGATCATAGCACACTGATGAGTAGAGACTGTGTCTGCTGAAACAGCAAAGCGTCCCGCTCTCTCTCTCTCTCTCTCTCTCTCTTTCTTAAAAAAAAAAAACAAAACAAAGCACTCTTTATCACTGTTAATAACAACAAACGCATCTACTCATCGAGATTTAAATCACAGCAATCACTCTAGAGGGAGAAACAAATACAAGAAAAATTAAAGGACTCTCTCTGTCTCTCTCCAGAGGAAACCTACATTTCTATCTCTATATATCTCTACAGTTTTAGTAATTACCAGATTCGAGACTAGAGAGAGAAAAACAGTACACTTCACTTTCTCTTTTCTCTCTCTAGAAAATATCTTTAGCTGCTATAGATTTGGAAAGAGAACCACTTTTAACTAGTACATTTGGATCTTGCTGCTGCATTTGGATGTGACTAGGGGGATAAGTACGAGTATTAGATCGGAGGATATGGAGGTTTCCGGCGACGGAACGGCGGTTCTTGAGGTTAATGGTGGAGGTGCGGCCGCGACGACGACGCCGCTTACTGTTTCTGGATCTTTTAAGGAAGGGCCGAAGAGCTCGTCGAGGAGGCGGACTTCGGTAAGGCCAAGCTTTGATGCGGATAATGAGTTCATGACTTTGCTTCATGGGTCGGATCCGGTTAAGATGGAGCTTAATCGGCTTGAGAATGAAGTTAGAGGTGTGAATGTGGTTCGATCTACTACTTTTTGAGCTGGATTAAATTAATTCTGATATTTATTTATTTTTTTGTGGGTTGTGTTTTTTTGCTGTTTTGGTGTAGATAAGGATAGAGAGTTGGGAGAAGCACAAGCGGAGATCAAGGCGTTGAGGTTCTCTGAGAGACTTAGAGAGAAAGCTGTTGAAGAGGTCATTACGCTCTCTCCGTACTTTTTAAATTTTTTTTTTCATTTTTGAAAATTTATTCTTGAAGGATTAATTTTGCCTATTGGGTTAATCTTTTTGTTGCTAGTTGTTGATTTTTTACTGTCATTAAAAGTAGTGCCTTTATTTGAAGTTAATTCGATTGTTGTTTTTACATTTATGTTTGATTGTGCTAATACTTTCTTGATGCAAATGTTAACTTTGAATTTGGTGGAAGATAGCTTTTTTTTAATTACCTATATGATCTTTCTTATGATTTTGTTTAGTTAATAGTTAGTGGAAAATGTAGATCCTGATAGCTGTTTGTCAAATATAATTTTCTTTTATTAAGTTCTGATAACAAATTATATTCCTTAAAGTCTGTTATTTGATGGATTTCTTCTGTTACAGTTTGGATGTCATTTCCTTTAAAGATATGCCACACGGATGAACCTCTTCTAATTCGTTTTGGTGATAACAAATCATAATTTTTTGGTAATCTGATAGTGCTGTCAAGTTATATCAATTAAGGAAATTGCATTGGTATTGATTGCTATCTGAGGCAATTCTGTTGTCCGTTCTTCCCTTTTCCTTTCCTTCTTTCTTTTCATTAAGTTATTTCCATATATTATTGTACTTCTATTGCTAAAAAGAAGAGCTAGAAATTGGTTAAACTGTTAAAGTTCATGTTGTGCCTGTCGCATTTCTTTAACTTATATATGTTTATATTATATTTTTCATCAATGTGAAAGAAGTTACTCGTTAGATTATTATTGAATTTAAAATTTTTCCCAATTATTGTTTTTCTTCAATTTCAGTATTTTTCTAGCATTGATGTCTATGGTTTTCAATGCTAGATTTCTGTATTCATCTTTTAGAACATTTTCTGAATTGGGCTGGGAATGGACTCAAATACACACTCTGGTGCTCAAAATGGACCTTATCATGTTTAAGTTTTTGAGTTTTCACAAAGGTCATTTAGTGTTCTGTTTATTGTGTATATTTATCTGATGTACAATTTTATTCGTGTGTGATTTTCTTCTAACTGAACTTCGGCATAAGCTTTTCTTCTTTATGCATTGTTTTTTTCTTTCAATGATTCAGAAACAGTACACATGTTCCAAATTGATCCTGATTTTTTTTTCTGGGATTTATTTGTGTCTTAGCTAACTGACGAACTCTCAAAAGTGGAGGAGAAGCTCAAGTTAACGGAATCTCTTCTAGAAAGCAAAGTATTGCTTGGGATCTCTTTCAATTCCTCCATTATTATTTTTTTTATTGTTTTCAGAATGCTATATAATATGCACATATTTAAAATTAAAATTGTTTGCAGAATCTAGAAATCAAGAAAATCAATGATGAGAAGAAGGCCTCCATGGCAGCTCAGTTTGCTGCTGAAGCCACTCTTCGAAGAGTTCATGCTGCTCAGAAGGATGATGACATGCCTCCAATTGAAGCCATTCTTGCACCTCTGGAAGCTGAGCTTAAACTGGCTCGCCAAGAGGTAAGCTTTTTCTTGATTGTAACTGTGATTCCATGTCAACAAGGGTACATGTTGGTTAATTTATTATATTTTTTTTTCTCATTTTGTTCTGTTGGTCCTTTGAAGATTGCAAAGCTTCAAGATGATAACAAAGCATTGGATCGTCTTACTAAATCTAAAGAAGCAGCTTTAATTGAGGCTGAGAGGACAGTTCAAGTTGCCTTGGCTAAGGCCTCCATGGTGGATGATCTCCAAAATAAGAACCAGGAGTTAATGAAGCAGATAGAAATTTGTCAGGTATTGCAAGCTTGTGTGGTGCTCTTCATTCCTCTTTTACAAATATGTTGGAAGAGATATTTGACATCCCAAGTGAATATAGTGCGGATGTTCGATTTACTGCTTTGTGTATGCAGGAAGAAAACAAAATATTGGACAAAATGCATAGACAAAAGGTTGCAGAGGTGGAAAAACTCACCCAGACCGTAAGGGAACTAGAAGAGGCTGTTCTTGCTGGTGGTGCAGCAGCAAATGCTGTTAGGGATTACCAGCGGAAAGTGCAGGAGATGAATGTAATTTTCAATACAGATTTTGCTGGATATCTTAGTTTGCATGCTTTATAAGCTGCCCTAAATAGGGACTACTTGTTATTGTGTTTTGCAGGAGGAAAGAAAAACTCTTGACCGGGAATTGGCCCGTGCAAAGGTAACAGCAAACAGAGTGGCCACAGTGGTAGCTAATGAGTGGAAAGATTCTAATGACAAAGTGATGCCTGTAAAACAATGGCTTGAAGAGCGAAGATTTTTGCAGGTTATTGTTGAACTTAGTTTTGTTTTCTTCTATTGTTTGAGTTCTGTTTGGAATTTTCTTCATTTGACTAGAATGCCTTGTACTTTTCAGTCCTCACCAATGTTGATGACACTGTTTTTTACAGGGAGAAATGCAGCAACTTCGTGACAAGCTTGCTATAACTGAGCGGGCTGCAAAGTCTGAAGCACAGTTGAAAGTGAGGATCCGATTTTTCCAGCTGAGGCTTTTTGTCTGTTTGCTTTGTTTCGCTTTTTCTCCTGGTGCTGAAAGCAAACTATGCTCTTGCATTTTTCAGGAGAAATATCAGTTACGTCTCAAAGTGCTTGAAGAGAGCTTAAGAGGGTCTTCAAGTAGCAATCGCAATGCAGCAGAGGGAAGGAGCATAAGCAATGGGCCTTCTCGTCGTCAATCGTTAGGTGGAGCTGATAACATCTCAAAATTGACCTCCAATGGCTTTTTGTCCAAGAGAACCTCTCAGTCAAGATCTTTGTCCTCTAGCACCAGTTCAGTGCTGAAGCATGCTAAAGGAACATCAAAATCATTTGATGGGGGCACAAGATCATTGGACAGGAGTAGTAAATTGCTCTTAAATGGGGCTGGCCAAAATCATTCTTTCAACCAACCTTGTGATGGAAATAAGGACACTGAGACACCTAATTCATGGAAAGGGAACTCAGATGAAAAGCCCAATGAGTTCCCACCGGCAGATACAGAGGACAGTGTTCCTGGGATATTGTATGATATGTTGCAAAAAGAGGTTGTAGCTTTGAGGAAAGCTGGTCATGAAAAAGATCAAAGCCTAAAGGATAAGGATGATGCAATTGAGGTCGATATTTTTGTCTTGTCTGTGTTATGATCCCATTGTTTATAATTCTGGTTAATATTTTGTGTTATGGTTTATTTTACAGATGTTAGCTAAGAAAGTAGATACATTAACTAAGGCAATGGAAGTTGAGGCAAAGAAGATGAGGAGAGAAGTAGCTGCAATGGAGAAGGAGGTTGCTGCCATGCGTGTAGAGAAAGAACATGAGAATAGGGCAAGGCGGTTTAGCAATTCAAAAGGGCCTGTGAGTGCTGCTCAGATGCTTCCTGGGAGGTACATACTTTAGAAACTTTGCTCTATTCTTGGTTTTTTTTTAAAAAAATAAAATAAAATAAAATTCCTGCCTTGGACTATGCTAGCGTATCATAATGGAATGCCATTGGTTGGTGCGTAATTATCTTTCATTAACCAAGGAAATATCAGCTGCAAAGCTTTTTTTCCTTTTGAAAAATAATATTCAAATTTCTGGTTCATTTCAATTTCTCATTTTGCGGACTTCCATCTATTGTATTTTTAATATGGTAGTTATATTCTATATGTCAATCTATCCTTTCTGTAATTCATACTGGGAAAAATTATGTCCAAGTGAGAACATGTAGGTAGGGATTGAATGGCAAGCAGCAAGCCCTGTCGTTTCTCTGGGCTTGGCTCTTGCTTTAGTTTTTGCTGTAACAAATATTTAAGATGAAAACTAGTCCAGTGTCTTGAGTTATTAGAGTTTAGTCTTGATTTCTGACAATGGTGTGCGTAGAAAACTAAGGAACTGGGCTAAAGTTTAACCAAACCATGATCTGTGCCTCTTTTTCTGTAGCTTTCTCCCCTTCCTCTCCTTTCTCTGTCCCATTTATTACTACTTGTGATTGTGCGTTAGAGAAATTAAATAAACATTGCCCTTTACCAGTCAACAATATTCTGGCCTGTGGTCTATAGTTTGAAGTGACTAAAATGGAGGATGATGAACAGTGAATTGAAGAAGATGAACTCCTATGTTCTTTACTGTTGTTCATCAATTAAGTCTGCAGGAGTGAGTGCTTAAGTAGAGGGAAAAGGCTGGTGTAAGTTTTTCTTGGTTTTAAGTTCCAGCAAACCGTGGACCATTTAGATAAGAACTGCGAGGTTGATACTGGAACTGGTTGCTAATGTTTTGCCTACCTTTCCTAGTTAATGGGGTATTTCAATTTGTTTCTTGAAAGGATTGGATAGGATCATGTGGAAAAGAATCTGGCTTCTCATGGTTTATGATTAAATTTTCTGATTGTGGCAATACCTGAGTTTTTATTTGCCTAGAAGATGACTTTTAAGATTTCAATTATTGGTAAATAGTGCCAAAAAAATAAAAAGTTACTACTATTTAAGAGAAGAGAATTGGTTAGATAAAAATTTATTTGTCTTAGACAGATTCTCCTATATTGTGCAGAAGTGTATCACGAAGCGGGCTAACACGCAGCACTCAATGACGGTAATTTGCACCACTGGAATCAGCAAGGAGTAAATCTGCATAGGCCTTGGTCTTCAGTTCTCTTTTATATTTTTTATTTTTACCCTCTCCTGTGATTGATTATAAGATTGTAACTGGCATGCCGATGACCCTGTGTTCCACTGAAATTGTCAAAGAAAGTACATTCAGGAAGAGAAAATTACTGGAGGATGAAATCGGTATGCATCTGACATAGGCTGTTATTCCTCTGTTTAGAGAGACAAGCATAATGATGGAAAGGAAGATATTGACTTTGGGCTAACCTTTTGTCAGGTTTTTTGTCTATTGAGTGGACAGTGGTTGTGTGGTTGTATAGGTAGCTTATTGGCTTTTCTGTGGTCTACCATTTTGCAGTTTATTATTTGTACTCTGCATCTAGTGTGATTGTTGTCTGTTCAGGTTTGTTAATATTTTTGTAATCAGATCAAATTCAGATCTTGTGGGTGTGTTATCCATCTATAGTTTATTTTGGTTATAAATCCAGCACTGAGCTTCTTCCATATTCTGTTCAAATCGTATCTCAACTGCCCCCGTCACGTTAAAAAGTTTGCTAATGAGCATTGTGCTTTTTTCCCCATGCTCATTGTTCCCCTGGCCGGGGGGCGGTGACGGACATAATTTTGATTTAAGATAAAAGATAATAGATATTTGCACCCATTTACTTTACTATACCGTAACTTGTTAAAATAAAATGTTATATTTTTAAAAAATTGGTTGGGCAAGCCACATTATTTGATAAGATGGGTTGAAATGTATTTCAGTTGTGCTTAAATAAGAAGTTGATTTGTATAATTTAGACTTATTGTTATAAAAAAAACACATAAAAGACAATTAGTCACATCATGTTATAGCTGGTATGACAATGGAGAAAGAATAAGATATCGAAGGAGTAAACCAACTCTCTTGAGTGTCGAAAGACTAGCATGGATTTGAGTGGAATGAGTTTTTATCGTTTAAGTAAGTAGTTTTTAATTTGAATAGTTTTTAATTTGAATCTTTGTATGTATAAAAAATTTTTTAGCTAATTTTTGTTATTTGTGTTCAACAGAATATCAAGGGTTTAGTATGGATTTTTGAGCCTAGAATCATAGTTTTAAAAAACAATGGTTATATAATGTAGCAATTGTTCTATAATGATAATGGGTGTTATGTTATAGTTATTAAGTGTTACAGGTGCTCCGACGTCATTTCACACAAATAACAGCATTAGCATTATGTAACATTGTTATTTATCGTTATATAACTACGTTAAACATTTGTAAAAAAAAAAAAAAAAAACCAAAATTTCAGCCATAAAGGAGAGAGAGGAGAGACTAGAGAAGCTAGATCCATCATGGCAGATTCTATTCTTTCTAGCCTTCTTCAAGCCCAAAAAAGGCCAAGCTTATCTAGTGGGAATCTTCATATAAGCTCTGACACCCACTGCATCTTTCCATCATAGCCTAAGGTTTTTTGCTTTATCCGGGGAAAGAGTTTTATTGAAGATCAATAATTTATCTGGGGAAAGAGTTTCCACCATAGCCTAAAAAATTAAATATTTGTGTTTGAAAGCTTTGATTGAATAAATTATAAATTAGTCCTTTTATTTTGAAAAAATAATTTAATTAATTATTTTTATTTTAAAAACCAATAATTTAGTATTATTTTATATATTTTTTAAAAGATAAAAAATAAAAAAATAAATTTATACCATGAAAAAAAGATTGATGAAAAAAGAAAATATTGTGTGGAATAAAATATATTGCATTAAACATGATTAATACTGACTAAAAAATTAAGTCCGATAGAACAAAATCATTGTAATTTTTTTTAATTATAATTTCTTATTTAATTAATTTTTTTAGTGTTTTTTTATAAATTTTTTTGCTTAAGAAAATATAAATCATTCTTCTTTATGGATTGATTTTAACTAAAATATTAATCAAGAATTAACAAAAACTTTAGAAATATATTTTTCATAATATTGTATTCCAAAAAATAAAGTTATAATTAATAGATAGCCTTTTATAAAAACTAACAAATGAAAAAAAATTCTTATTTGATGCTGATAAGAGGATTAATTTTTGAAATTATCCACGCAATACTATGGGTAGATAGAACAAAAATGATTTTAAAATTTTAAATTTTTTTCATTAATTTTTTTATTTAATCATTACTATTTTTTTGTGTTTTTCATAAAATTTTTGCTTAAAAAAATTTATTTTGCTTTATTAAAAAAATACTTTAAAAATATATTGTTTTATAAGAATATATTCAAAAAAATAAAGTTACAATTAATGTATAGACTTGCATAAAAATTAATTAATGAAAAAATAAAATTTTAGTCTTATTTAATGTTGATGAGAAGATAATTTTTTTAAAAATATATACATTTGATTTATATATATTATATAATCGTCGGTTTATGTGAAAAAAAATAATGATTTATTTTTAAAAATGTTAACACTTAATTAAATAAAAAAATAACATAAATTGATGAAAAAAATCAAGAAAAAAAACAAAAGAAACAAAAGAAAAGGCATGTAGTGTATTAGCTAGAGATTAAAATTTTTATTTTAAAATTTTAAGGATCAAAACGAAATAATTTAAAATTTTTTAAAAAAAAATTAAAGAAAAAAGAAAAAGTAAAAATTTCAAAAAAAAAAAATCAAAATGAAATAATTTGAAAATTACAAAAAAAAAAAAAAACCAAAGAAAAAAAAAACTAAGAGTAAAATTAGAAAAAAAAAACACTTAAGAGAATAGTAAATTATGAGGGTAAAAAAAAAAGTAAATAGTACAAAAAAAGTTTAGGAGCATAGCGCGGATAAGCTGGCTAGTGTATACTAAAAAAACAAAGGTGTCTTTTAGTTAAAAAAGAAGAAGGTATTTTAGTAAGCAGTTATGTGGAAAATAGTCTCCATCATGTTATACAAAATCTTAAAAAGCTGAAAGAAGTTAAAAAAAAAATGTTAATATTCAACTTGACATTGAAACTTTTTAAATTAATGCTGATATTTAAAAATTTTAAATTATAGGTATAATAGTGAAATATTGGTGAATTTACATTGACAAGAAAACTAAATGGCTGATATTAAAAAATTCTTCTTATAAAGGTAAAAGTGCAATATTTATGGGGTATAAAAAATGATATTTTCCTAAAAGAAAAAAAGAAGAAGTGAAGTAACCGTTAAAGGAACAGTGCACGCGTGATGCACTGTTCCAGTAACACTGATTGGACTTTCGTTTTGCTAGTATATGTAATAATAACAATGATAATAATGACGTAACCGAGTGCTTAAAGTATGATTAATTGCCTTGGGCTTGAAACTCTAACTTTGGGCTTTGAATTCGTTAAAGAAAGCTGCCCATTCAGTCTATGGCTGTAAGTTTTACAAGAACGATGAAGCATTGAAATTACTGGAAGTCTCTTTTTGTTTGTTGTTTTGGGACTCAACTGATTGAAATGATGATCCTGTTTTGCACATGAAAAGAGATTCTATTCTTTGTCCTCTATGGGCTTTGGCTTGAATTTGAATACAGAGATGTTACCATTATTTCTTTGTCCCCTAGGGTCTCCCTCTCTCTCTCTCTCTTTGTTATTATTATTTAAAATGATGTTATGTTTCATAAGGAAAAAATAACAAGAATATCACCGATAAAAATTCATAATGCATTAGATTACTTCATCGATGGGTCTGACAGTAATTCCATAATCAAATGGTTAATAATTTTTCTTTTTTAATAATTTATAGTTAATCAATCAATTTATTTATACATATTGGTACGTATTCTCTCTTAGTTCCTAAGCATTAAAATCAAAATCTAGAATCTAATTTTCTATCATATCTTTCAATGGATTATTTTGCCATTTTTATATCAAAATACTCTCTAATATCGAAAATCTTAAATAAAAAAAAGGTTATCTCAAAACTAAAGGAAGCTACCAATGCCTATGTTGAGGCATGAGAATGCATAGATTTGATTTTGGAATTCAGGATGAATTGGAAATATCATCCAAATAAAATTTTATAAGTCGCAGTACCTTTTATTTTTATTTTTATTTTCTAATAGTAAAATAGAAGTTGTATTTTTCATTATCAACCCTCTAGTTTTTATTTTTTCAAGTTCAGTCTAGGATATCAGTACATGATTAAATTTTAATTTTACCTCCAAAATTTGGGAAAATATGTAGCATAATAGTCTCTCTGTTTTTTTTTTTTTTTTAATAGAAAAATGTGTATAAAATTCAAATGGAAACACCCATGCAGTGTTGGTACGGTGGTACAACCTTCCTTCTTGTTTATCAAGCATTTTCTTTCTTGCAGATTCCACGTCCCCATCTTTTCTGTTCTTCTTTCTTTCTTGCCTAACACCAAATCTCCATTTTCTTCTGCTGATCCAAACATTTCCTTTCTTTTCTTTCCCAGATCCTCAACCTGATCTCTCTCACATTTCTGTTCCTTTTTTTTTTTTTTTTTGTATTAAATACACAAAATACTCATTGCATCAGATCTAAAACATACAATTTATTTAAATAATAAAAATGGCTACAATGGAGAGCTTGATCGGTCTCGTAAACAGAATACAAAGAGCCTGCACTGTTCTCGGCGATTATGGCGGTGAAGGCATGTCATTATGGGAAGCTCTTCCGTCCGTTGCGGTTGTTGGTGGCCAGGTCCTCTCTCTCTCAATTTTTGTTTTATTTTTTTTCTAGTTTTTGTAGGAGTAATTAATTTTTGTTATTTGTTGTGGAAATGTATATAGAGTTCTGGAAAATCTTCAGTTTTGGAAAGCGTTGTTGGCAGAGATTTCCTTCCTCGTGGATCTGGTAAACTCTCAAGTACCCGAGTTGTTCGATTTTGCTTTTGAATTCAATGTTTTTCTAGCAATATGGAAAAATAAAACCTAGGAAATTGAATATCCAATTACTTTGATCAATAGAATCAACATAATATTGTGCTGGTTATGTGTAAAAGGTATTGTTACAAGGAGGCCACTGGTATTGCAACTTCATAAGATAGAAGGCGGGTCTGACTATGCCGAGTTTCTTCATGCGCCCAAGAAGAAGTTTACTGATTTTGGTATGAAAACTAAACTAATTTTGGCTGACGATTCCCCTCCTCACCCAGATTATAGCCGAAAGCCGTGTTAATTCGGTTATTTTGTTTGTGCTTTATGTATGTAGCTGCTGTGCGTAAGGAGATTGCCGATGAAACAGATCGCATTACTGGGAAGAGCAAGCAAATCTCTAATGTTCCAATTCATCTCAGTATATATTCTCCTAACGGTTGGTACTTCCCTTGCAACTACATGTTTAATAAAGTTGTTTGATTGACTTCTCGTCACACATATATGTTGAGCATTGAGTTTCCTACATGCCTAAGTACAAATGTGAAAACGGGGGAATACAAGTCTTGGACTTGCAACCACGAGGGTGTAATTTTTGGTTTCCAAAGCACAGCTGCTTGAAGCAGAAATGCTGAGGGGGGATTGCTTTAAAATTCTCTCTCCCTGGATTTCACTGTGGTGGGACCATAACTGGGTGCTGGCTTTTATGGTACCTTATTGCTTTTAGATGTATCTGCATGAGTATGCTTATTTGAAAGACTGTTCTACAAATACATACGACCAAGCTAATTGCATCTCACGCTCAATTTAAAACTATTGAAAGGCCAACATGAATTGTAGGCATGGCAGTTCACAAGAGTCGATGCATTTCTACCAGCTATGATTTGCATCTCTTTTCCCATTTTTGTGCATGATCCTATGCTTCTAACCCCTTCTAGTGCTGGTTTGTTATCTTTTGGATATGGAGCCGCCCATCCATACCTCTAATGATTTATATGTTTTCTTTTGGATTTCCTTTCTTCAGGACATGCCATATGTTTTTCATTCAAGGTTCATCATCCTTGCTTGTGCATGCTCTGCGTATTGTTACATGTACTCCTGGTTCTATAGAACCACTTTCCTACTACTTAAACTTTCATGAGTTGGAGGAGTCCCTCTAGAATTGACCAAGTTTCAAACTTGTTTCCTTGTTTTAAGCATTTTATTCTTAAATTTTTTCCTTTATTTGTGTTTTATGGAGTATATACTCTTAATTATTTCAATTTTTCCTCGTTCTTTTGTCATACATTTTCATATTTCATAAAATCTGTTACTTTTGGGCCTCTTTATTCCTTCTGATAGAGTTTGACTTAAATTCATAATTTTGTTTCAGTTGTCAACTTAACCCTCATAGATCTTCCTGGTTTGACAAAGGTGGCTGTAGGTAAGACTGACTGCTTTATCTTCAGGTGTAAATTGTACAAATCATTCTTAAAATTTCATATATAACTGCTAAAAATTTTCATTTTCAAACATGCAATAATATTTAATTTTGGGTTTTGCAGAGGGCCAGCCAGAGAGTATAGTTGAAGATATTGAAAGTATGGTCCGTTCTTATGTGGAGAAGGTGAGATAATATCTTACGTTTTAGTAGAAAGAAGAAACTTCTTCATCTGCTCAAGATGTTTAGAGAATAAATAAGAGAATAGACTCAATCAACCTGTTGGATCGAATGATGTTTGTTCAGAGTTCAGTCAGTATTTGTTTTAAACTAACTTTGTATTTTATATAGTTTAAGGATTTAATGCCCATGTTATTCTTGAACTAGAATAGGTGTTGTTTAATTCTAAGCAATCAGTTAAAGCAAGTTCAAAGTTTTCTTTCAGTGATATTAATTATAATAGTCATTTAATTGTGATGAACTATTTCCAAATGGTTTCTAATAGACTTGAATAACCACTAATCACAGCCTAGTGCAAGAGCAAGCAAAAAATGATCATGGATTCAACCTCCATCTTACACATGCATTGTTTTTTCTTTTGTTACTTAATTCACTCAAAAGTAGTTTTGGCATTCTGAACCTTAGCCTTTCTCTTTCTGTCTCGCCATTGGACCTTTATTTTCATCTGCTCCGGTCCTTGCTGAAGAAGAACACTTCAAAATTTAAACTTCTTGTGTTAGTAATAGAAGCCTTGACTGGATTTTGTAATATAGTAGCAGGCACAATCCAATAAATGGGTGGGAAAAGGATTATTGTGTAGTGATGAAAATCTATGAGCAAGAAGGGACAGAGGTGGAGCCTGCAGCTTTTAGAAGCTTGTTGGTTCAGAAATAAATTGCAGGTTCAACCTGCATGTCCCTCCCACATCTTTCACCTCCTCCTCTTCTATCTGTAGATTTATCCTCTCAGCCTGTAAGATATCAGTTTCATTTTTTATTTTTTCTGCTGCTGAAGGTTCCTTTAAGAGAAATCGACTTTGTATAGTTTTGTGACTGTGAGGCAAAATGCCTTGCATTCTGGCTGTTAAGGTGCAAGAACAAACTATTCTGGAATGTTTTTTAATGTACATGGACGATATTACTGTTACTATTCTTCAAGGCATGTCTTACTCTTTCCATTTGCCTATGCTGTTTCTGTTGATGTTGACATGACATTTGAAAGTAGGGGTGAAAAGTACTATCCCTTCAAAATCCATTTTTTCATGGATACACCAATTTTTAATTCAATTGCTATATATTATGAGGACTTGTACTTTACAAAGTTTTTGGCATAATCTATTTTGTTGTTACATACTCTTTTACTTATCAGCTTATTGAATTCTCTGATTTGGTAGCCCAACTGCATTATATTGGCTATTTCGCCTGCCAATCAAGATATTGCCACTTCAGATGCTATAAAACTAGCCAGAGAAGTTGATTCTACAGGTGAGAAAAATTAGGCTGTGAATGTTTAAGGGTGAAACTCATCCCTTCTAAAGATTTCTTTCAAAATTGGTTTATGGATGGAGAGAGTGAAATTTGTGTCATGTTTGGTGTATTTAGGTGAAAGAACCTTTGGTGTGCTAACAAAGCTTGATCTGATGGACAAGGGAACCAATGCCCTGGATGTATGGATTTGTTTTCGTTAACTACATTAATTTCTAACAATGAAATTCATTTGCTCAATGCATGAATCTAATAGTTCCTCTATATCAATGATTAAGGTTCTTGAAGGGCGGTCATACAGGCTCCAACATCCCTGGGTTGGAATTGTCAATCGTTCACAAGCTGACATCAACAAGAATGTGGATATGATCGCTGCTCGTCGGAAGGAGAGAGAATATTTTGAAACAAGCCCTGAGTATGGACATTTGGCTAGTAAAATGGGTGCAGAGTATCTTGCAAAACTTCTGTCCAAGGTCTTTTTATCCACAGTATCTTTGTACAGTGCCCCTACATTATAACAAATGTCATTCCCTTTGGAGGCCTAAGTTTTGAAACCCGTCTTAAACTGATATTTTCTTCTGTATGCCTTCTTCCTTTTCTTTTCCTTGTTTTCTCATATTAGCATTTAGAGACGGTTATCAGACAACGGATACCAAGCATCATTGCTCTAATAAACAAGACTATTGATGAGCTTAATGCAGAGCTGGACCGCATTGGCAGGCCTATTGCAGTAGACTCAGGGGTAAGAAATCACAATAATAATTTATTTCTTAGTAAATGAAATTATTCATTTGTCCAATATTAACTTGTTGCAATTACGTTTACATACAGGCTCAGCTGTACACGATTCTAGAATTGTGTCGTGCATTTGACCGTGTATTTAAGGAACACCTTGATGGAGGGTAACTGCAATTCCCTTTCCGGCTGCTATTGACTAACAGTTTTCCACATTGAACAATCTACACAGATTCTTTGTTGATTTTAATTTAATTTCAATTTACAGATAATTTGATATAATTTAGAATTTGGTTCTGATATCTTCAAACTTTATTCTTTGCCTTGAGTTTTCGAGCCAATCACCTAGTGATTGTAATTACTTCATATCAAATCAGAAGAAATGAGTATTTTTGGAGCTATTAAGATATCTGAACTTGGAATAATTAATTTCTCATTTGATAATAAAAAAATGGTAATCATTAATTGAATGCAATTTTCAATCTACTTCCATCTCTATATCTCTATAACTGGTTAAAAAAAAACATATTTTCATAGATCAAAAGGGAAAAAAATGATTCTTGCAAGCAAACTTATACTATTGTGCTATCACATGGTTACAAATTGTGTAAGTATGATGTTTTGATTTGGAAAACATTTTCAATTTCTTTATTCTGGAATTTTAATTTTCCTAGATAATTGCTTCATACTTGAGCAACAAATTTATCTCAGGCGTCCTGGTGGAGATCGAATATATGGTGTTTTTGACCATCAACTGCCAGCTGCTTTGAAGAAGCTGCCGTTTGATCGTCATCTCTCTATGAAAAATGTGCAAAAAGTTGTTTCCGAAGCTGATGGTTATCAGCCACATTTAATTGCTCCTGAACAAGGATACAGAAGACTAATTGATGGATCCATAAGCTATTTTAAAGGACCAGGGGAAGCTACTGTGGATGCGGTAATGTTCTTACCTATGCTAAGACCTAATGATTTTGAAATTTTGGCACATATTACATATGCAATGTATAGTTTTGCTTGAAAGTTTCTCCGTTTCCTGTTACTCTTTAGAGCTTTGTGTAATATTGATTTAGACTGGCTAGATGTTCTTTGCATAATATTAACTTTTGTTCCATATAATTTGTCTGACTCATCCTTCAAGCTTGTCTTTATATAATGCATACAATCCAGAAATTTTGGAAATAATCGATGTCTTATTCCATCTATATGTAGAGTCTTTTGTGTGTCCTGCATATATATACCATAGGTGATGGATGTTATAGGGTGTATCAGAATGACTGGGTTTGATTTTATATAACCAGGGGGAGTGAGGAGGGCGGCTAATCTGGAGATTGCATACTCTATGATTTTGCAGTATCATAATCATCGTTGTTTTCATTTCAGAGAAAAACACGTTTAAAACAAATTGATGGAAAATGAAAATTTTGATAATTATGTTGTTCAGGAATTGGATGCATAATTTAATTCTGTTTCTTACAAACAAATATTTTGTGTTATGCTCTCTTCCTTAGGTGCACTTTGTTTTGAAGGAACTTGTTCGGAAGTCAATAGCTGAAACAGAGGTAAGCAGTCTTTAGTTGCAAGCAACTTTTTGCATGTAAATGGATTTCAAATGTTTTCTCTTCATATAATAAAATAGTCAGCTTTTGTTCCTTAACAGTTCCCAACGAAGTCATGTAGTTAAGATTTAATGCTTCTAGTTTTTTTTCCTTGGCATATAAGTTCTTGAGCCCATTCTTGGCATGGATGCTGATGCTACAATAGAAGATGACTTTTGGAAGTATCTTTTCTCTTACAAGTGAAGTGAACTTGCATATATTTCCTGCTTTGGAATACAGTCAATTTTACTGCCAAATCTAGGGACCAATGGAGACACCTGCAAATAAATATCTGTCAAGACACGTAAATAAACTCTTGTATGCACTTACACAGTATGTGTAACGTTATGTGATTCAGTACGCCATGCTTATGTGACCTTAGAACAGATTTATTAAGAAATCTGTTGAAATTGTAGTGAAATGAAACTCAGTCCTCTCAATAGTCACATCAACAAGATAAATCAACCTGATTTTGGGTAATTTGAATGCACTAAGGTGAATTTGGTCAGTTTTACCCTGTTGAAATTCAGCAAATGATGCTTTTCTTTGGATTGCCAAAAAGCCTGAGCAGCTGCCAGCCAAAAGAGAGTTGCATGTTGCATTGAAGTCGGTTCTTCCAGAAATTAACGTATCTCAATGACGAATTGAAATGTGCTGGTTGCATTTGAGGGAAGACTTATCCTTTTGAATTTAAACTTTATAGCTGTTACCTTAGTTTCATTTTGAAAATTGCTTGGATGTCTTATGTGAAATTTGAGGGCAGAAATGCCAATTGTTAATGTGAGAACCAGTGATGGATCATCATCTGGAGTAACTGCTATATGTCCTCCAACATTTTCCTGCTATAAATGACTTCTCATGTGGTCATATGTGAGCTTGAATGCTCAGTCATAGATGAATCTGAGGATGCTAGATATAAAAAGAAAACTTTGAGCAATGCTACTTATGCCCACTGCAGGAACTGAAGCGATTCCCAACCCTTCAATCTGACATTGCTGCTGCTGCAAATGAAGCTTTGGAGAGATTCCGTGATGAAAGCCGGAGAACAGTTCTACGACTGGTTGACATGGAATCTAGCTATCTAACTGTGGAATTTTTCCGTAAGCTTCACCTAGAACCAGAGAAGAACACAAACACTAACCCGAATCAACCAGGCCCAAATGCGGATCGTTACAATGACAACCATTTCAGGAGGATCGGTATGGAATTCTCTTAATTTCTCTCCTTTTTGCTCTTTTCTTAGGATTGGTATAGAATTCTCTTTTCTTAGAACTATCTGAATGATTTTTCATTTTTAATTTGTTTATGTTCTTCCTTGTATGCAAAATTTGGTGTTGTATATGTAATTGTGTTCATATATTACTAGACTTTCAATTCTGAAATTCTTTCATTTCTCTCAGTAAATGAAATGTATGTAATCATCAAATATTAGGAAAACATATGGACTAATGGTTGCTGATAAATCATAATATTTTTTTCAGGATCCAATGTCAGTGCTTATATTGGTATGGTTTGTGACACACTGAGGAACTCTATTCCAAAAGCTGTGGTTTATTGTCAGGTTCGAGAGGCTAAGAGATCTCTTCTGAATAACTTCTATGTTCAAGTTGGGAGGAAGGAGGTAAAGTTATTTAGAAATTTCATTCCTTTATATTTACCTACCTTATTTCTTAAACCAGGGAAAGTTTGAAGATTCAGGACATGTGGGTGACTCTAGTTTGAATGAGTAGTTGTGGTTTGTTTGCTGGGCTGGTAGGGTAGGGAGTGGGTTAATGCAGATGCATTAGAAATTTTTGGCAAATTAAAATATTCCATTAGAAGCATTGCTGATCCTGGCTACACCTCCATGGGCGAAACTTTTGTGCACATGAAGCTTAGTTTGGTTTGTTTTTTCAGCTCTGCTCAAGTTCGATCAAACTTTGACCTAGCTGCCACTTTAGAAAAGCTAATCACTTGGCTGGACTCTGTTTTCCTCTATTTTATAGTAGATGCAACTTCACTAGTCTTTGTTGGAAGCAAGATAGTAATGTAATAAAAGCCAGACTGGAGTTGTCAGTTCAGATGGGGAAACTTGGAATGGATCAAGTTGCTGGTCCAGTCGATCCCCAAAAACTGTTCGATCGATTAAATTTTGTTTGGTCCAATTTTGAATAGTGTTTTTGCTTGCACCCTAGGTCACTTGTAATTTAGTCCATGTCTCATAAAAGCTTTGAAATTAACCTAGATTTCACTCCTTTCCACAGTTAATCCTAGATTAAAGGATTCTCCAATTTTTCTTACATAAGTACATGTAGAAATTCAGGTTTCAATATCAAACTCCTCAACCCTCTTCTCTAATGCAATGATCTGGCTATTTCTGAAACACTAGCAAAAAGACATTTAGGAGTTCAAATCTGGTCATTAATCGATTTCTTAGTCAACAGAGATTGGCGGAAACTTTTTTTGTATTGATATTTGCAACTTTGGGTTGGACTTGTGCTGCCTTTGTGCATGGTTTTAGTTTAAGTTCATGATCTACATGCACTAGATGTGACATTGTAACCCTTAGAAAATGTGTACAGCGTCATTGAAATTTCCTCCTAGCTACTTTTAGGTTGTTCATAAGTTTTTTTATTTTTTATTTTTCACCATGTATTAGTCATGGGTTGTGCTTGACTAGACTGGGTTGAGCTCATCAATGGAAGGTTAGACTAGGATTGACATTAGACTAGGATTCACATCTGGAATTTTATCGGTGTTCTTAGGCTTACAGAACCTCCTACTTCAACCAATAGCTTGATTGATGTTGCCCCAAAAAAGACAGAAAGAAAGGCGATAAATTAAGCACTCCAATTATTCTGTAATTGCAAACTAGAAGCCATTAATATAATCTTCATGAAAGATCTGGTACAGTCGAATTAATCTTAAAAGTAAAACTAGAAGGCATAAATATTTACAATGATGGGAAAGGCTGACATATGACAAGGTTTCGTGAAAGTATTTTTCTCCTCTGATAAAAGAAGAGAGAACTCCTATTTCCCCCTGTATTTGTAAAGAAAAGTCCATTTTTGGTCAAATCCCCCATAATAGAAAAAATGTGGCAAAATTAGGACAATCAATAGTTAAATGCTACAAACACAGGGACCAAAATATGGGTTGTATATAAAAAGAATACTTAAATGCTACAAAGACGTAATCACATAGAACTAGAAACAACCAAAGAAAAAAGACATTGTAAATATTACCCAGTGTTCGGAGCAGAATACCTAAAAGGTCAAAGTAATGCAGTAATGTGTTAGTTTCATAATATTTTATGTAGAGAAAAAATACCTAATCCTCTCATCCAAGATTGTTGGGAATTCCTTGTGTTGTATATGTAGAGAAAACCTGAACCAACTTTCTCTAAAAGCCAAAATTTACTGAAGTGTTGGAGACTGTGTAGAGTGTTTAACCTATCTTTGGTTGTTGAGAAGATACAAAGAAGAAAGAAGCTGTAGAAGTTAGGTGAGACTCGAACTTAAGATCTCATCCTTCTTGCTTTTGCAAGAGTACGCCTGAGCTACAAGCTCATTAGTTCTTTAATATTGAGTTTATTAGTTTTCTCTATAAAATTTGCAAAGATTGTTCAATTTTGTGCCGTAGGCATATGGAGCTCTGGTTTGTCAGGTCCTTTTTGTTTTATTATGTTTAGAGAGTAACCAATTCTATGACAATTGACACGTTGTCTTGGATCCCTTACAGAAGGAGCGGCTTGGTGCAATGTTGGACGAGGATCCACAACTCATGGAGAGGAGAGCGACCATAGCTAAAAGGCTTGAGCTATACAAGTCAGCTAGGGATGAGATTGATTCAGTTGCATGGAAATGATAGGTATTCTGGCACACGATACAGTTTTTTTCCCCCACAAACATAGCAAGGCTAGATTTTCTACATTGGCATACTCATTGTACTCCTTTTGCGTTTGACAAGAATGAAACACTACTTGTGCACATTCCAGGCTAGATTTATACGTTGATGATAAAATTGATTCCATATTCTTTTTGTAATTGCTTAAAACGCAAGATTGTACACACTGCACCCTATGAGATTTTTTTCCATGATTTTGCTTCATATGGTTGTATTTGCTATTTTTTAAGTTTAATATTCATATTCAGAACGAGATTTGACTAGTTAATCCTTTAAGGCATTTATTCAATTTTCAGTTTTGCTCTTGAATTCCAGAATCTTATTCTCGTTGTACTCAATATTTCTTAATGTTCCTCCTTCTATAATCATCGACTGCAATTAACAAGCAGAACTTGTTAACTTCAAACAACGAGACCGTATGGTGTATTTTTGGACATGGGAGTCAATGAATTTATAAAGCTATTTAGCATGGAGTTAACTGTTGGGAAAGTGTAAAACTCGACATTTGCAAAATTGAAAAGTTTTCACAATATCTTTTTAATTGGAAACCAGGTTTTCTTTTTCTATTTTCTAGGAAGTTTAAAAATACTCATATAATTGGAAATGTTTTTGAAAAAGTACAAAAATATCCAAAGTAACCACCGATCAAACCATTATTTACTAAAATTAATAAATTGTATGGACATGTTTAAGAAAATTAAAAAAACAGTAGTGTTGTGGGTTTTTTGTTTTTACCAGTCACACTTAAGAGAACTTCGCAAAAATAAAATAAAATGAAAAATTATTGAAACTACTGCTTATGGTGTTTTTTGAGTTTAACATTGTTAAAAAAAAAAAAATGAATTTAAAAGAATTAAATGGACTGTAATAAGCGTGGAGATTCCTTGAGGGAAAATTGCCACCTCTAAATTGGCTTAAGATTGAAAATGAATTAAGTTAGAAGTCAAACTTTCTAATCTAATATGCGATGTAAATTGTAAGACTAAATCACAAAACTAAGAATTTAAGTAATTAAATATTAAAAATAGAAGGCTGCAATATGAATGAAAGCTTAATAACGATGAATTGAAAATCTTTACAAAAACAATATTGAAGTCTTTACAATGTTGAATTGAATAAACTTATAATAAAAAGAAATTACGATTATTCACAAACCGACACTCTAGACATAATAATTGATGAAGGAACTAGAGATGATGGTGATTGCGAACACATACGAGAGGATGAAAAGCCAATTACCGGTCTATAAATTATTACCTATTGATTATTGTCCACTATTTAATCCTTATTGATTATTGTCTATAAATTATCGCATACAAATTATTGTCCACTAGTTACTTGCTTAACAAGTTTTAAGTATGAAACTTGTGATAATATTCATTGAACTGTTTGCAATTTTCAAAAGTTTGTTTGTGTTTGGTATTGTTGTGAGTTGTTCTCTCTAGCTGCAATCAATATTTATTGACTCTATGCTCCTTCATGACCTCTAGTAATAGGCAACTCTCTTCGATGTATGTTATAGTATTTTATGTTTTTCTTTTCTTGCATTGCAATGCATTCGTGCTTCTTCTTCTTCTTTTTTTGGCAATGTCTTGCTCTGTTTTTCTCAATTGCAATTTATCATGTTTCTTTTAACTCGTTTAGATCATGTTTTTATTGTTATTAAAAGTCTCGTTATTCTTTTAACCATATGTATACTGTTGCTGGTTATCTCGTCCTTTTTATGTAAGATTTTTTCCAGTTTCATCCAGCTTTGGAGTTCATCTTCCATTAGTTTTGAAGAAGACTTCAGCAATCTCACTTAGGATAACTAATTATGCTTTTTCATGTGCTTAATAGGTTGGCAGATGATATTTCTTCCAATGGAACAAATCTATTGGGTTCTTAATTGAGTTCAATTATTAAACATATTTCAAGAAATCAATAGATTTTACCTAATTTTTATATTCAAATTATTGGGCTCAAATCCAAAATAAATTTAGATAAAACACAAAGTAAAAAAGATTGCTTTATTTTCCTAAACTAATAGGATTTTAGATTAAAGAAAATGTGCGTTTGATTATAAGGTTTAAAATGTAAAAAATATAGTTTCAAAGAAAACAATTATATTCTTTAAGGAGCAAACAAATTTTACCTATTAATTAATATTTCATAAAAAATTTAAAAGAATATTTTGGGCAAATAAACCAAACTCGATCCCCGGAAATACTTTTAAGGCTACGAGGAATGGTTTTTGAAAAATAGACCAAAAAAATCAGAAAACCTAACAGCATCCTTGCTAATTGTACAAAAAAAAAAAAAGAAGATTCATTTGGGGTTTTGATCATATCTGAGTTCCATAAATGCTATTCTCTTTCTTTCTTTCTTTTTTGTTTTTTGTTTTTTCATGCTTACTAGAAAGAGATTCGAATATGGAATCTAAGAATAAAGAGAAATGGATGCTTCTGTAGGCTCGTCGACCTAGTCCGACAAAGTTACGCATGTGCCTTGGAAAAGCCTAACCATGCATAGCTTGTCCAGTCAACTTCACTTGACTTGAAAAACCATGATGCAATCCTATCCACATCAAATTTCAGCCAATAACCCGAGCATCCCAACCTTGGCTCTTTCACTAGAGTACAATAAATATATCAACTTGATTAATGGAGTAATGGGGCTCGCAAAACGCAGGAGGCATTTGAAGCCAAAAGGAGGCTGGTTGGCATAATGAGTCGATTAACTTTGACTATTTAGAGTCCTTGGCTGTTCCTCTTGAATGATGGACGATAAAGGGTCAGTAATGGCGTAAAAGTGAAAGACAAAGTAAATTGTTACAAACAACTGAACAAGCACCACCAATGTCCTCCTGTTTTTTCTTGTGCTGATCTTTGTTCGGAAATTTGAGCGTTGTTCCGGAAGTAGCGGCACATTTGCAAATGCGAGCTGCATTCCAAGTGAACGCAAGGCACTTCTCAAGTTCCGGGGTAGTCTTATTGATCTTTCATAACGGTTGTCGTCATGGGTAGGAGAAGACTGCTGTACCTGGAAAGGAGTGGTTTGCAGCAGGACTAGTGGTTATGTTGTCAAGCTTGATCTTCGAAATCAGTTTCATCTAGATGAGCTAGACATTCTCTATTTTGATGACTATTCTGGAAATTATAGCAGCGCTTTCTTGAAAGGTGATATAAATCCTTCTCTTCTTGACTTGAAGCATTTGGAATTTCTGGACCTGAGCATGAACGATTTCTCTTCGAGCTCCGGAATTCCAGGGTTTATATTTTCCATGGCAAAATTGAAATATCTAAACCTTTCCTCTGCGGGTTTGGTAGGACAGGTTCCGCTTCATCTTGGAAACCTGTCAAGCTTGCAGTATCTTGCTCTTGGCACTTCTTCAGCTTTCGATGCTCCTTAAAATACCTGGACAGCTGGACTTGTCTGGTGCGAAGCTTCCGAAGGACAACAGTTGGTTGCATTCCTTAAATATGCTTCCTTCTCTTCTAGAATTACACTTATCCCGTTGTCAGCTTCCAAGCATTCCTCAATTTCTGAAAGTTAATTTCACGTCTCTTGAATTGATTGATCTCAGTCAGAATGGCTTTGGTTCTCCAATTCCTCGTTGGTTGTTTAACTTCAGCAACATTCAACATCTTGATCTTAGTAAAAATGCTTTTAATGGCTCCATTCCTAGCGAGATTAGCAGTTGTAAATTCCTTGAAGTGCTTGACCTACATGAGAACAATCTTGAGGGTGAAATACAAAATACGCTGACAAATCTGTGTAGCCCATCTGGATGCATTCATAATAGTTTGAAGATGTTGAATCTTGGATCAAATACGCTCACTGGCTATTTTCCAGTTCAACTTGCCCAGTTTAAGCATATAGAATACCTTAATCTCGAATCAAACTCATTTCAAGGTCCGATCCCAGTGTCAGTAGGAAGACTATCGTCTTTGAGACAGTTAAGTCTCGGTCGTAATCACTTGAATGGTAGTATTCCAAAAAGTTTTGGGCAGCTTTCAAATCTGGAAGTTCTAGATGTCTCTGACAACCTATTGGGGGGCATGGTGTCTGAAATTCACTTCGCAAACTTAAGGGGTTTAAAGGAGCTGAGCTTGTCTTCAAATTCGTTTGTTATAGATTTTCGCCCAACGTGGGTGCCTCCATTTCAGCTTCAAGGTATTGGAATGTCGTCTTGCAGATTGGGACCTCAGTTTCCTCAATGGCTTCAAACACAAAAGAACGTTGTATCTTTAGAAATGTCTAATGCAAGCATATTTGATACCATCCCTGATTGGTTTGAAGAAATTTCCTCCAGTATTTTGTGCCTTGATCTATCTTACAATCATATTAGAAAATGTTTACCCAAGCTGAGAAAATCTTCTTCTGCTATTGGTAGGACCGTATATTTGAATGGCAACAAATTTGAGGGACCTTTAGCAACCTTTCCTCCTGATGTGGTCGTGCTAGATCTTTCCAGTAATTCTCTTTCTGGTCCAATTCCTGAAGCCATTGGCCATATGTGGCCCAAATTACATAAACTACACCTCTCCGGCAACCAGCTGAATGGAAGTATTCCACTTTCCATATGCAAGATGAAGGATTTGGATACTCTTGATCTGTCCGAAAATCAGCTATCTGGGAGACTTCCTCGGTGTTGGGGGCAGTTGACTAGTCTAGAGGTGATAGATCTTTCAAATAACAATCTGAGTGGCCGTATTCCTACTTCTTTGGGTTCTGTAGAATTTCTCGCTTCTTTACATTTGCAGAGAAACAGTTTTGAAGGAAAACTCCCCGCATCATTGACGAAGCCAAAATACTTGAAAACTCTCGATCTGGGCAAGAATGCATTTACTGGCTCTATTCCTTCATGGATAGGTGAAAAGTTTTCTCTGGAATTACTAAGCATTCATTCTAACGAGTTTGATGGCGAGGTTCCTCTGGAGCTTTGCCACCTTTCTCAACTTCGAGTGCTGAACTTGGCGCGAAATAGGATTGTTGGAACTCTTCCTCGTTGTTTCAGCAACTTTTCTGCTATGATTGGAGAGGCATTGGCACGTGAACCCTGGTTATACGCAGGAGCTTATGACGAGAACGCTTTGGTTGGGTGAAAAGGGAGGGAACTTGAATATACCAAGACACTTAAATTTCTCTTTTCCATCGACATTTCCAGCAACAATATATTTGGAGAGATTCCAAAAGAGTTAATGAGTCTTGCGGGGCTACAAAATCTGAATTTGTCAGGAAACAAGTTGCTGGAAGTAATTCCTTCAAACATTGGCAATTTGAAAAGTATGGAATCTCTTGATTTGTCTAGAAACAAGCTATCCGGGCCAATTCCTCCAAGCATTTCTGCTTTGAACTATTTGAGTTACTTGAACTTGTCATTCAATAACCTATCAGGTCATATTCCATCAGGGAACCAACTCCAGACCTTAGATGATAAATCCATCTATATTGGCAACCATGGACTTTGTGGAACTCCACTAATGAGTTGCCCGGAAGATGAATCATCCACTGAAGGTCATGAACGAATCGAGGACATGATTAATGATCACGCAGACACAAATTGGTTCTGTTATGGTTTGATAGTGGGGTTTGTGGTTGGATTCCTGGGGGTTTGTAGCAATTTGTACTTCATTAAGTCTTGGAGGGATGCATCCTTTCAGTTAGTCTACAAATCATACAACACGCTTTGGATAACAACTGCAGTAAAGGCAAATTGGCTCCGAAGAACATTCTGTGGACGCAACTTTCGTGCATGAAAAGGTTAGTTCTCCTTTCTGTGTGCGTAGATTCCTTTGAACGTTCACATCGAGAGTTAGAAAGACTAAGGTCACAGGACTTAATCTTACTGTTTAATTGTCTCAGGGTCAGGGCTGTTGATAGCTGAATTTTTTATATGATTTATGCCTAACATCGTTCTCAGATTAATTAAAAGATTAAAGATTCCGGTTGTAATTGGCTGACCTCGTATCTTTTTCCCCTTTTCTTTTTCAATAAAGCAGATAACTTCCAAAATTGGTATATGATAAGTCGATGAAAAATAAAGTTTATCATCTCGACATTACTGTGAATTTAAGAACTTCGTTAAATTAATGTGTATCATTCAATTCTTTATGTATTTTTGGACTGCAGGATTTCGTGGGGGGGGGGGTTGGGTTGCTGTACTGAAGTTGAATGAAGATCTTGCGTTCGACTTCAGAGGAGGGGCTGTTTTATGATAAAAGACAGAGCTAGTCTCTTTCCATGGTCGATGTTGTCTCTATATATATGGTACTTTATCCTACTCGAGGAGGTGTATTTTTATGATCATTGATAAATTGCATGTGTCCAGAAACCCGGGATGCTAGTAATCTATTTGGATTATGTGAAATGAAATAATAATAACGATTTGAATTTACTAATACAAAGTAAAATAAATGGAGCACCAAAATCATGGGTGGAGAATCCAATGTCAGCATGCGACTGCACTTGGCATAGAACAAGGAAAGCAGCTTCTCCTCTCTCAACAGTTGTGGCATGAAACAAACACCAGTCGATGGATGCTCAGGCTCATCTACTATGAGACCTGAACACACTATTTTCAGGCTGCGTTTTGCAATACCATATTACATTTTTTACTTGAATCAGCGAATGCTTGTGCTGCATATGGCACAGAGGCTAATCAGCTCAGTTGAAAGAATCTTCCCATTCAACCAACAGCATTCTCATGCAATAGGGAAAACTAAACGGGAAAAGTAAAAAGAATGGTAAAAAACACAGTAAAACCGGGTAACAACGGATAATATCCTGCAGCAAAATTTCTAAAACAAGTCATTGAATTAAAGTAATACATGATTGCACCTACAAAAAGCACACTGCGAATTCCAGACAAGAAGAGTTTGTCTTCTTCCTCGCAATACAAATATGAACAAAAAGCAGAGTGAAAGTATGCAGTAATACAGAAAGAAGTGATCTAGCAGAACCTCAAATGGCATAGGTCATAAAACTAAGTTTTCTGGAGTGGCTGGTGCAAAACCTGCGTCAACCAACATCTGTACAGCTCAATGTTAAATCATGGTTCTTAGTCTTGCCTGCTTGCTAAGCATAACTCATGCAATTCGTTTAGTATCCATTCCTCTCCAGTGTGCCCCCCAGCACCAGGACCCTGGTCCCTCCAACCACACAGGTGCTATGACCCCAGGCAAACTTGGGCGGTTGACCAGGAACATTGAGAATCCTCCAAGTTGGTTTCTCCTCAGCAGGATCTAAAAGGAAAAGCTGAGAAGGAGAGTGCAGCCCGGCAATAGAACCACCGAAGATTATAATCCTTCCACAGGGCATGCTAACTGCAACATGATCAAGTCTGGGAGGGGGAACAACAGAACTCTGGCTCCCTATGCCTGTTAATGCACTACACTCCAGTTGCCTCCAATGTGGTTCTTCATCCTCCAAGTCAATGGTGTAGGCCTCGCCTGATCTCAGACGTAAGTTCCCACTCTTGGCAAGTCCACCAAACATAAGAATTTTTGTCCGACCATAAACTGAGAGTGAATGCCCTAATCGAGAGGGAGGAGCCCAAGAGGTTGGGATCTCTCTCCACATTGGCTTATCTTTAGTGAGATCCAACAAGTAAGTGTCACTGAGAAGTACCCCAGCATCTGTACATCCGCCTGAGACAACCAACTTAGAACCTTCTATGGTGCAAGAGCTGTGCCACGATCTAGGAAGAGGTGGAGTTCCGCCAGAAACTTCCTTCCATGTCGGCTGTTTGGCATCCAAGTCGAGAACAAAAACATCATTGAGCAACCCCTGTCTTCCACATCCTCCAAATACCACCAACCAGGAATCATTGAGGCAAGAAAGAGTGTGGCCCCAGCGCCCTGGTGGGGATGATTTCACACTTATCCGCTGCCACACTGGATTTGCAGCATCAAGATTGAGAACAAACGTGTCGTCCATCGGCTGCATGTTTACTCCTTCCCCTCCAAACAGTACAAGTCGATTCCCTGCTGCACATGCACTGAAATTGCAACGTGACGGCTCAACTGCTCCACCAACTGTCAATTTCCTCCAGCATACAGCCTCGAGTGTAGTCAGTTCCCTTGCCAGACGCCCCCACCCCAACTTTTTAGTCATCAGCTCCAATGCACCTGTGACTTCTCTTCCCCATGCATTTTGACAAACCATCTTCCTTACATGCTCATTTTTTGTTAATTGCCGGATTCTTCTGCAGACAGATCCAATGGATGCAACATCCCTTGGTGTCAAGCGTGATAAAATGTTGTGAGCCAAAACTTCATCAGACAGGTGAAGTATCCCACATATTTCTTGATGCTGAGTAAATGGCGATTGTCCATGCCGAGGAAAATAATCAGCTGATTCATCAGACTGTTGATTGCAAGTCTCTTTGAAGACTGGATATGATACGTGGTTCAGATCTATTTTGGCTTCTGAAAATACCTGAATACCTATTATGTGTGTGATAGTCCCATCATCGTCATGTATAGGTGCAAGTCTGAGCCTGTTCACCAATGGAGTACCATCCTTCCTAAAGTTTAGAAGTTCACCTTGGAATTCCACCCCTTCCTCAAGACATCTTCTCATTTCAGAAACAACAACAGGATCTACTAAAGGATGCCTTCTTTGAGCGCGGGGATCCCTGTATTGTAAGAACCGACTGAAAAAAGGAAAAAAAAAAATTCCAAAATGGTCAATAATCCCTAACTACAAAGAAAAATCGCAGTACGAATAATCAAGCAAGCAAAAATATTGAATATAATTTAGAAACTACAGTTGAAAAGAGATCATAGAAAACTAAGTAAAATTCAAAAAATTTAAGCAAAAACAGAAACAAAACCTGAATAGCTGCACTAAAAAGTTGGGCTAAGTAATAAATTTCCATTGCACATTTATCTTAAAAAACATGAGCATCGGAAGGAAAAAACATAATCACAAAGTCAGCCATGTGTAGTGCAAGACCCAAAAGAAAGTCAAAAGGGATCACAGCGGCGAACAAAAACTCTCATTATCGTCCTTCCTCCAAGTAATCAATAAGTTAATTAAAGCAGAGAAAAACAAAATCAGCAAGACGAGATAATAAGGTGCCAACAGGACCACCTCAGAAAACCAATAACTTCATTCTGAATATGAGGAAGCAAACTTTAAAGCTTATACTTGTCTAATAAAACACCATCCCATTGCAACTAGCCCTCTAAGACCACCTAACAAACTCCAACGCAACAAATCTTAACCCAAAGCTATGAAGTTGAACTAGAAGAATACGCAGATGGTTAAAACTGTGCTCTTGCACTAAACATATCTATCAGGCAACATAGCCTTTTTACGGGTCCTAAGTGTAAAAAAAGACCATCTCATGAGGAGCCTTGTTCTTCCAAAGTCTCTCCCTTCCATTGTAGCATTCTGCGCTTATATTTTTAAGCTCCAGGCAGAAACTCTCTACAGAGAACCAACGATACCATCTCCGTCAATACACCATCAAAATCCCCAAAAAATTAACAACATGAATCGACGCAAGAACAACCTACAAGAAAAAGAATTTAAGATCCCATATCATCGTGCGAATAAATATCCTTAAATTATTTTTATTTTTTCTCAGCAACCAAACAAGCTAGAAATCAATAATAATAATAACCCACAGTAAGCTCAAGCCTGGGTCATCAATCTTAAAATCATATAATCTAATTTCCTCATTTCCTTACCAACCAAATAAGAATACAGCATTCAAATAAAAGCGAACACATTAATTGGAATTTAAATTCAAAAAAAAAAAAAGGAAAAAGAAAACAGAAAAAAGAAAAACAGGCACTGACAAATGTAAAGTTTAGAGGAATTCAAAAAAGGAAAAAAAAAAGAAAAACAATGGTCAAGAACAAAGAGAAAAAAATAATAAAAGGCTACCAGTTCCGACCGAGGACCTCGTGAGCATGGTAGCCAGTGAAGATCTCGAAGACCTTGTTAACATAAATGATAGGAAAATCAAGCTCTAAAGCATCCGAAACCACAAAAGATGTGGGCGTCGTTGGGTAGTAAAAAAACCCTCCTCCTACTCCTTTTACATCCTCCATTAATAAAACCTCGCTTTCCGCTTCATCTTCTACTTCTTCTTCTTCCTTTCTTTTTTCTTTGAGGGATTTGGTGCATTTCAGCCTTTTACCTGAGCTTTGAAACCTTTGTTCTTCTTCTGCATCCTTCTCTTCTTGTGGTTTTGACATCGTCTCTCTGTTTTCTTCCCCTGTCTTTCTGAGTGCGTGAAAAAACTGAAATTTAAAAAACCAAAAATAGAAAAGAAAAAAAAAAAAGGAAAAAAGAAGATTTTTGTTGTGAGGGATTGGAAGTGGCAGTTGAATTGAAGTCAAGGGTGGTAGCACGGTGATTTGTTTTGCCAGCCCAGATATTTATATTGTCCCTACTCCAAAAATAATCGCCCTCTTTCTTCCCTTTATTTCCCAACATGCCATCCATTGCTTCTATTTTTTACTTTCGTATTAGTACTTAAATATATATATATATATATATATATATATATATCATTTTAACCTTACCACAGAATTTAATCCCACAACATTTTTTCTTATATGATTATTATTAAACGTAGTGTTCAATTTTTTATTTTGATGAATGAGTTAACTATATCATATGAAGACCCTTAAGTTTTCCTCTACTTACAACATGTAAATACAATTTTTTTTTTTTTTATAAAATACTTGGTATAATATATTTAATAGTTTCTCTAATTTATGAACTTTATGATTTGAAATAAATTACAACAAATTCGAAGTTCTGTATTCTCTCTAAAATCTCAACATTCAAGTACATATATTTTTTTGTTTGTTAATTATTTTTTTAAGATTTGGATCATCGGATTTAGATTTTTGTTTGATGTTTCTTTTATTAGGGTCTTGGTTCTTTCTTGTTGGAATTTATTTATTTTTTAATAATGAATTGATGCTTTTTTTTCTCTTATGATTTTGATAAAGTTTAACATAAATGAATCTTTTATCAATAATGAAATATAATATTCAATTTATATGTAAAAATAAGACGCTATAATTTCTTATAAAAGGATTTAAATTTAAGAATTTTGAAAGTTTTGTTTTTTTCTAAATCATTAAGATTGATGGATATACAATTTGCTATTTGAAAAGTTAGCTTCACTTTTTGTCATCGTTAATATCTATTTCAAAAATATCGATTGAGTATTACTATTATTATTTTCTTTATAATTATTGTAAAGAATTAATATTATATTTATGCTTTTATGGGTATTAATAAAATCTATTTTGTATTTAAAAAAAATAATAAACGTGCAAAATAAAAAACAAGACTTTATGCAATTTTAAATTCTGATGTATGAGTGGTTCAATCATACTAATGCAGTAATGCGGTGAATTCTTAAAAAAAAAAAAAAACAACAATTGAAGGGATTTGTTAGCTAAACTTAGAAGTTTTTTTAAATCAAATTTGTCCCAATTTTTTCCCCGATTCCATGGAATTCCCAATTAATTGAATAGAAAGCACGGAGCAGATTAATTGTTTTTTTTTTAAAAAAAAAACTTGATAATTTGGTATCCGCCTCTTTTATCATTAAAGAAAAAATAGTAGTAAAAAATATCAATAACAAGGATGGCACTTTGGTAGTTCAAGGAATAGATGAGGCCTTAGGGGTTTAATGAAAAGGACAAGTCCACGTAGGTTTAGCGATGGAAACTCGTGCTACATAAAATATCTTGGAATCAAAAAATATCTAAGGATCTAACAAGCCATCATTTAGCCTCCACGTCACCGATCTGTAAAGAAGATATTTATCTGGCTTCAGGATGTGGCGGGCATGGGATCACGTCTCCCTCGCATCATCCCCATCCCCATTCCCATGTTCCTGTCCCTTTTCACATCTATCCTTTTCCTTTCCTTTCCTTTCTTTTTTTCTTTTTTTTTTTCCCAAAAAAGAAAGAAAAAAAAAACCGTGACTCCTGCTGGTAAATAAACAAGAAAATACATAATATATTAAATTGAAAAGGAATAATTTATCACGAGGCTCAAAGAATTTGTAAATTAATAATAATAATTTTTTATAATTAGAGATTACGAATTTAAATTATAATATATTAATTCTATTAAAAACTTTAAATATATGAATAAAAATAAAAAATAAAATAAAAGATAAAGCTTGGACTGAATTGTTATTCACTCATGGGTACTCATCCATGGACTAACATAATGTTTAACGTTTCCTTGTATCCATAATCATTTTTAGAACTTTGGGTTATTGATAAAAAAGAAGAAGAAGTAAGATTATTGGCAGGGTCAGGAAAAGCCTTAGCACGTTAATTAAAGTATATATCTACCTGTATTTTGTTTTTTTAATTCCTGGATTTCAATCCTATTTGACTTTTTTTAAGTGCTTAAGATATAAAAGGTTCAATATATTCCGTATTGGGTATTAATTGGTTCAATTCTGGGATTTAAGTTGTGTTTTTATTTGAAGCTGGACATGTTACGGACGAAAGTGTAGATACATACAGCAAAAGTTACAAATCACAGATGTCTTCTGATCTCAAGTTACGTTTATGTAAAAAGCGTAAGGAATGTCTTTTCTTACGTTGAACCCGGTTTGATTTAATTACAAAGAATGTTTTGTCCAGATGGTTCAACTCTACATGATTACTTTCAGAATTCAAAAAAATTCCGGAAACTATTTCAAGATATTTTTGATACGTTAGCATTTAAAAAAAAAAATGTCTTTTTCGAATTCCCCCACGTCGCTTGAGATGGCACCCAAAACGCACGTTACTCTCTCTTCTAAATATCGGAAGTTCAAACCCATCAAGTAACTAAAAGTAAATCTTTTAAAGATTTTTCAGTCATGACTTAGTGACATGCTTTCAGCTGAATTGAATAAACTTAAAGATACGGCTGTTGGGCCAAGTCAGCCTTTAGCAGCCTATAAGAATTTCCCACCATAATGGATCTATGACAAGATCAATTCTTTACAACGAAAATGGCATACAAAGTCAACAGAAGGTTTTTTTCTTCTTCTTTCTTTTCTAGTGTCATATTAGTTAGGCACTAACGTTATGATTTGACAAAACAATAATTGCATACGTAAAATTAATTATTCACACGATGTAATATGAGTAAAAGTTTTATTTCTTATGATCAATATAAATTAATATAAAAATTTATATTTAAATAATTGAGAGGCTCTTTCAAAATATTATCCAACTTATTTTATTTAAAAAATAAATTTTAAAAAATAAAAAATAAATAATTGATATTATGTATGCAGATATATAGTTAATTTTTAACAAAATTAATGACACACACACATATATCTATATCATATTTAACGGATTCGAGTATATAAAATAAATAAATAAAATATGTAAAAAAACCCACCTAAATTATATGAAATATATTGAAGTCAATAGATTAAACAAAAAGTACAATAAATTTGATTTCAATAAATTCTTAATAAATATATATATAAAAATAAAACTTGTGAATTTTTTAAGCGATTATTAATTTTTTTAAAAAAAGAGTTAAACTATCTAAAACATACTTATATATATTAACAACTCATTAAAAAGAAAAAAAATAAAATACTTACATTCTAAAATTTATTCCAAAATTCATATATTAAAAAAAAATTATATCAAAAAATTAATTTGATGATAGTTTTAATAAGAAACAAATAATTGAAGAAATAAATTTAAACAATAAAAGTAATATAATCGGATATATATATATATATTCTATCATCTTCAAGCTGTACACAAAACTAAAAAAATAACGATTTATTTTTTTATATTTTTTATACTTTTTTTTATTTGGTAGGCCTTTTTTCTTTCTTTCTTTTCTTTTTCTTTTTCCTTCCGTTGTATATATATATAAAGGAAGGAAAAAGAAAAAGAAGAAAAAGAAGGAGGACATGCGTCCGGTTAGCTTAAACCTATCGGGACGGGCGCCTAGTTGGCACAAACCAACAGGGTTGCACTTAAAAAGAAAAGAAAAGAAAAGAAGGGCATGCTTGGTTGGCTTGTGAGGCTAGGCCAACGCACTAGGCGTGGCCAATCGCTCAACCCTAAAAAAAAAAAACACCGCAATTTTTTACGAACTCGAGATCGTCGAATTTTTATTAAAAAAATCGAGGATCAAGTTTCGGATCCCTAGAAATTGAATTCTAGCATCATTTTTTTCCAAACACCTCTAAATGACCAGGAACAAAGCCAATAAACACATTTAAAACCTTAAAAAATCATTTTAATGTACACCAAAAAAAAAAAAACACAATCAAATCGATTTTTTTTCTTTTTTTGGCTTCGATCTATCTCCTCTAATTGTTTAATGGCTTGAAACCGTCATGGACAAACTCATCTCTCAAAGATAAAAAAATCTAATGGATTTTCACCGATCAAAGTTGCCTAAATTAGCTTGGTCGATGATCTCTCTCTCTTCCTGTCTCTCTCTTCCTCCATCCGTTCTTTCTACGACCGGAGACTAAAATGGATGAGCAAATGAAGATGTGAATTGAAATATTCGTTCGAAAATATCAAGGATCAAATTGTAAAAAGTTGCATAACTTTTACCTATCAAAATCTAAAAAATCACGAAAAAGCCATCCATAGTGTAAGCGAGTACGGGGCTACGATAAGTGAATAGTAAAATGTTCACTTCTTTTAGTTTTATAAGAATTAGCGACTTATTATATCACTAAATATACTAAAATAGGATGTGAAAATACTATGCACACATTATTCATTCATGCACACACTCATATTTTATTATTCATTTACCATACACTTTATCTAGAACTACTATTCATTCAATATATACTCATAATGTTTGCCTAAAAATATGTATTTTATCTTTTATATTTTAACATTGTGTTTTTCCATCCGTAACTTCATATTTTGTTCATTTTGGTCCCTACATGCTAAAAAGATAAAGAAATGAGGGAGAGACGAGAGGAGGACGAAAAAGCCCATTTCGACCATCCTGGCGGTCAAGCTTACCAACATTTTATTTGACTTTAAAAGTAAAATCTATTAATGATGGTGACAAACGATGAAATGATTAGAGAAATTAAATCAAGATCTGAAAAATATCTTAAGTTCTTTTAATTTGATTTGAATTTTTGTGTGTTTTGTATGCATTAAAATGGGTTTTGAAAATTTAAAAAGGTTTGCTTATGTTATTTTTGTAATTTTGAGGT